GCGGCTGGGGGATGATCCTGCAGGACAACACAAGGAGCACGTCTCTGCAGCTGGAGAAACCCAAGGTTCTGACACTTGCAGAGGTGCGTGCTTGGGAAATCCAACCTGGGGCATGCCTCATCAAAAGAAGCCCAAGCAGGTCTTCCTGAGTATGCAGAATGAGGCCTATGAAGCCCTGGAGGTACCTGCCTGGAGGTACATCCAGCTGGAAAATGCAGGCAGCTCCAAGATTTCCACGCTCTCCCACCTCAGAGCAAATGGTCATCTGCTGTAAAACAGCCATACAAACTCATAGCACCTGTCATAGCCAAACATTTTTTAAACCGTAATGTGAAAAATGGCATGGATGTCTGTTTGCCTGGTGGTGGCACAAAGGCAACATCTGTTTCCAGTCTCATAATACATTGGTTGACTGTCCAGTTCTTTTAATGCCTTTATTTTGCAACTTACTCCAGGCACCAGTGTGCTATGTTTGAGGAATCGGCCTCTAATGCAGGACTCCTCCCTCAGTCTCCTAAACTTAGGTAATACTCTGATTCTTTATGATGGTCTACTTTTTGCTTGTACAACCCAGATGTAGGAGGTATTGCAGTGAAAGAAAGAAATCACAGACTGGGACTGGGGAGATTTTTACAGGGACACTTCAAGAATGGTCATGCCTTGTGTGAAAATTGACACTGAAACTTTCTCTTGTTTTGTGTTTTTGTTTTTTGGGGGGGGGCTGAGCGGGGGGGGATGTTTCGGGTTTAATCTAAATTGTGGGCATCATATTCATTCTCGAACAGGGTAGGAATTCTCCTGCTCAGTGATATCCTGTTTGTGCAACATATAGTCCATGCTGACCTAGTAATGTGCCTTATTACCCACACATTAACTATGCTTGCAAACTTCTCATTGCACAACAAATACATTTCTAAGACTTAAGCAAAGAACAAATTTTTTTGCTACTACTTAGTTGGTCTAATAAAAAATATTGCCACTAACCCAAGAGTTTTGTTTGTTTCTAACGCTTAGCCACCCAAAATACTGAGGTATTATTGCTTCAGAATCACTCCATAATTTAAGCTTCAGTAAGTTGTATATCTTCTAGAAATACCTCTAGTTTTAAAAGTATGTATGGTACTATTGAGTGTGATATTGAAATATCAAGAATATGTGATATTCTTAAAGTTTCAGGCTCAAAACTCGCTGACTTCCAAGGCAGTCTTTTAATTTGGATTTGTATAGTCCCTAGAAGAGGTAATGTCATCTGGATTGGGAACGGTATGCATTTCCATAATGCAAGCTGTGTATGTTGTAAATAAAAATAGTGTTAGCTGTTGTCTGTAGGGAGCAAAAAGTGATGACTGGTACAGCTAAATATCAAAACTGAATTACCATATTTACCCAAATCCAAGACTACTTCAAATTTAAGACTACATCCCATTCTCCCCCCACCCCCCAATTAATTATATTTATAGAAAAATTTACATTTTTTATAATTATCCATGTATAAAATGTAATTATGGGAGGGGGTAATCTTAAATTCATCTCCCCTGCACTGCTATGACAGGGAAAGCAGCAGTGGGGGTGAGGGGCCAGACCCGTGCCTGGACTGCCTGCCTTCTTGCCCCTCTTTCTCCTCCTGTGCCTGTTCCTGTCCCCCTGCCATGTGTCCCCTCCACCTGTGGTTGCCCCTTCATCCCTTGCAGGAGAGACAGCTGAAGGTAAGGAGTAGAGTATGTGACTGGGGCTGGAGCTAGAGCCGGAGGTAGGGCATCATGGGGGGTTGGTAGGCCATGTGATATCCCCTGTGCTCTCCCCAAGCTGCACATTGCAGGTCTCCCCTGTGTGCCTTCCCCCTACTTGCCCCCTCTCTCATGCTATCTCCACTGTGTGTTCCCTGCCCCCACTGCATGATCTCCCCTGTGTTCCCTCTCCCACTGCATCAGCCACCCTGGTTCTGGGTAGGTGGGTGCTCAGATCGGGACCAAAGCCAGAGCTGAACCACCTATTGTTGTGGACTATATAAGACACAGCTTTTATTTCCTTGTTAGTCTCTGTAACAGGAGACTTAAAGACTCATTTAATGATCTTATGCTGCTTCCACATATATCCCAAGATTCCTTGGTACAAAGTACAAACTTGTAACCTCAAGAGTGGAATTCTTTTTTTTGTCTCTTAGGAGCATTTTATATGTACTAAATTCAAGAAAAATTGAAATCCTTGTCAAAATCAGTTAGATTCTTTGATACAGCAAAGACAGATTTTTTAATATTAGTTTTAGTTGACGGAACTTTCATGTTTTTCAGCTGTTTTGTTTTCCAAGATAAATGGAATAACAGACCTATATTTTAACTTACTTTTATATCCAATGTCAGTCTGAAAAAAGCATCTACTATTCATTAACCCAAATCAACTTCTTATCATAGAAAAATTCTTATCATAGTCATGTTTTTAAGACTGTTATTCGTGGGTGCCAGGTCCTTAAGTAATCTTTGTTTTTCATGCTTCCTGGCATCTTGGGAGCAAAAAGCTGTTGTAACTGAGTCCCTTGACTGCAAGCAGAACTGACTACAGCTAACCATATAATAAATACAAAAAGTCAACAGTTTCTCAATTAAGATTCCCACTCAGGCAGTGGCAGCCAATCTTTTGGGTAGGCACGCTACAAATTAGCAGCAAACCCTCTCCGAGTACCACTCCAATTTCCTTCCCCTGCCTGATCTGCTCTTGTTTCTGCTTCCTGCCTTAGCTGCCACTGTG